TGGACTTCATCACGGGGTTACCGGCCGGAGCAAGTGGGAACGACGCAATCCTGATCGTCGTCGATCGGTTGACGAAAATGGCACACTTCGCAGCTTGCAAGAAATCGATCACAGCCGAAGAAACAGCCCGCCTCTTCATCTCCACCGTCATTCGACTGCACGGGATACCAGCAGCAATCATGAGCGACCGCGACACAAAAATCACCAGCAACTTCTGGCGGAACCTGTGGCAGCAGTTCGGCACACGACTACAGTTTAGTTCTTCGTACCACCCCGAGACTGACGGACAGACAGAACGGACAAACCAGACCATGGAGCAACTCATTCGAGCCACGTGCGACGACCCAACCATTTGGGAACAGCAGCTGCCACTCATCGAATTCTCATACAACAACTCGCCATCCGCCACCACACAACAGTCACAATTTTATCTAAACTACAGACAAGACCCCATAGTACCCATGACCCCAAATCCCGACAATCCGATGCCACGCGCGCAACTGTTCGCCAAAATTTTACAAGCAGCACGAACCCGTGCAGCAGACGCAATTAAAAAATCAAACATCATCGCTAAACGCAACGCCGACCGCCACCGCCGACCTGTCACCTACCAGCCCGACGACCTAGTTTTACTCGACACCCAGAACCTCCGCCTGCCCATTACCCCAAAACTCCGCCCCCGATATTGCGGGCCATTTTGCATTAGCCACATGATCACACCCGTCACCGCCCACCTCCTCCTCCCTGCTGACTGGTACGTCAGCCCGTCATTCCACGTCAGCCTTCTTCGCCCTTACGTACCATCCACCAGCCAACTGCCCCGCATCCGCCCAGCCAGCATGACACGACCGCCGACGGAACCAATCATCACGCCAGAGAAGATTCTGAGCCACCGAGTGCGTGACCCATGGGGAGCTCGTCGGATCGAATTTTTGATCCGCTGGAAAGATCGAACGCCCACTGAGGACAATTGGGTTCCCTTGGACAGAATTGAGAACCACCCCGTCCTCACAGAGTACCGGCGCAGCCGAAATTTCCGAGATGTGCACGCGCTTTCGTAAGGAGGGCCTCCTTAGAAGGGGGGGGGGGGGGGGGGGCAGTGTAAGGAAAAATCATTTTCCTTACTTCGCGTCCCTGCTCAGCGCGTACACCACTGTTCTCGCCAACAGCACCCAACAGAAATCCGTTACCACTCGCGAAACTCGCCTCGACACTGTTCCCGCCAGTGTTCACGACGCGACCCAACCTCACGGTTCGGTTGGTAATCCGCGCTCCGGACCTCCGCCTCGACATTCCCCAACCTCGGCGCTAGGCCCGTCGCGCACCTCATTTTCCACACATTACCGTTACCACTGTAATTTCGCTATATATTATTCGCTCATGCCTTTGCTCATTGTACTCTTGCTTCGACAGTGCAGTTCTCGTTCGTTCACTCAAACATGCGATGTGGGCCAATCGGAACCTCCTGTTACGTGTGTGGGTAACGAAGCTTATTGGCTGACAAAATCCAATTTCTGAATACCGGGATAGACATCAGAAATAGTTTACAAAGCGAATATCATAACTTAATAATCTATATTCTAGTTACATAAAATCCAAACAACAACAAAAGTTCCCTGCTAAAAATACAAAATTTGATGTCGCAACAAAAGCAAGCGAAGCTGCCAATTGAATATGCGCTGCACTCCTAAAGTAGAGACACCAGGAACAAATCTCAACAATGACATCGTAGTAAGAAACCTTTCGGTGGTGTCTCAAAAACGGATGTAGCCCAAGAGACATTAACCAGACAACAACAAATTAGTATTCAAAGAAATCACAGCGTTCAGAAGTTGAAAAAGTGGCAACCTTTGAAAGATCGGCCACTCACCTGTTAGCCATGGTACATGTCTCCGTTTAATGGCTATTAGATTACGCAGCATGACGAGAAGACACGAGAATATATACTCTAGTCATTCCGATAAGTAGTGCATGACACAAGTCATAATAGCGAATCTGCACACGAGGCTGACAAAGAACGATCAAGAGGAAACGCACACATAGTGCGCTCGAGAAACACCAGTATGCGCTCAACTAGTTCTAAATATGCGTCCTGCTGGGTTAGAAATGGCATACGAAATTGGCAGCGCGGAATCAAAGAGAGATAGCGACAATACTACGACTTACTGGAAAGTGTAAAACGACGGGCGCCATCCGCAGCACGGTAGTAGCCCGGGTCTTCCTGATCGACAGTAAGAGCCGAACTGCAACTGCAGCCAACATAACGACGGCACAAAATAAGGGAGCAATGTCAAAACTAGCAGTCAGAAACAAGAATGAAGAAAGGATGGTTTGCACTAGCAGCAGTTGGCATACATAAAGGAAACCCTAATTGGGTTGTACTCGCTATAGAGTACCCCACTACAGGCTAGACAATAATAACATTCTGACACACCCCCATAGCCAAAGTGGGGTGTAATCAGCACAATGAGCAGGCATAGCAATAGTTCACAATTATAAGCAAAGCTAGAGGTAATCACAGAGGGCAAGTGAGGAGGAGGAGGGACTGTGAGGGGAGAGAAGATTGGAGACGACGGCTGAAGCTGCAGACACACGGGCAACAGGAGCGCGCACACAGTGGCTATCGGGACAGCGCCCCGGACTACTGGACTAACTGGCTCGGCAGCTACGAGGAGCGGCAAGAGCAACGGACCCACGGGCGACAGGCACAGCAGGCTCTCTGGGCTACCGAGAGCACGACGGCTCCGGACTACTGGCGCTGCAGGCGACACGACGGCAGCCTCCACGCAACCTCCCCCAACCGTCCCACGCCCCTCTCACACACCCCCTGCTGAAACCCTAGCTCCACTCCCACGGCACCCCCCTTAAACCCTAAACCCTCGGCTCCCACACACCCACCCCCCTCAGCGGCAGCTGCAGCAGTGGGAGACGGAGGAGGAGGAGGAGCTGCAGGTTACCCACACCGGTCACCCCCATGCCCGCCACCCCCAAACCCTAACGCAGGCAGGAGCGCGGGAAGCAGCAGGGGCGGTTCACGGAGGGAAAGGGAGGCGGCGGGGGGGGCTCCAGGGCGCCACGAAGGAGCAGGGCGCGGGCCCCCGAGGGCGCCACGGCGGGTGACGGGAGGGGGGCCGCGCACGGGCCCCCGAAGGCGGCTCGACGGGCGACGAGAAAGGCCGCGCGCGGGCCCCCAAGGCGCCGCGACGAGGCGACGGGAGGGGGCGGCGCACGGGCCCCCAAGGCGCCGCGACGAGGCGACGGGAGGGGGCGACGCGCGGGCCCCCAAGGTGCCGCGACGAGGTGACGGGAGGGGGGGACGCGCGGGCCCCCAAGGCGCCGCGACGAGGCGACGGGAGGGGCCAGCGCGCGGGCCCCCAGGGCGCCGCGACGAGGCGACGGGAGGAGGGCGACGCGCGGGCCCCCAGGGTGCCGCGACGGGTGACAGGGGGCAGCGCGCAGGTCCCCGGGGGTGCCATGACGGGCAGAAAACCGCCGCGCGAAGCAGGAAACCGCCGCGCGCCTCGGGGCGCACGGCGGGCAGAAAACCGCCGCACGCCCCGAGCGCACGGCGGGATGAAAAACGCCGCGCGCTCCGAGTGCGCGGCAGGAAGAAAGGGTCGCGCGCCCGGGGCGCGCGACAGTAGTAGAGCAGCGGAAGCATCGGGTGGGGCCCACCCACAGGATCGACCCAGGAGGGTCGACCTGCTCTGATAGCATGTCAAAACTAGCAGTCAGAAACAAGAATGAAGAAAGGATGGTTTGCACTAGCAGCAGTTGGCATATATAGGAAACCCTAATTGGGTTGTACTCGCTATAGAGTACCCCACTGCAGGCTAGACAATAATAACATTCTGACAAGCAATATAAGGTTAGGTAAGGTAGGCCAACAGAATGCACAGCATAATAACATGAACACACTAAAGCGACATTCCTATAGACCAAAAAAAGAGGAAAAGATATGGAGACGGGAGATAGCGACGAGATATGAGAATGAACAAGTGCCTGGTGAGTTTGAGCCACGATACAGAGAATAGCAGAGAATAAATGGTTGTGAAGAAATGGTTGAGAGAACATTCGAGAAGCTGTGGGGAGTTGACGTGGAGATAAGGAAACCATTGTTATTGGTGGACATATTTTCTTTCTCTCTCGATTGGTTAGAACTCAACGAGCGATGAGTTTGGCGACACTCTGTGAAATTTCTATTTCGTCTGCATGAAACACTCTCGCTGCTTCTGGATTGGTTGTTGAAGATTTAGGTTTCCTAAATTTCGCAAGGACGGGTAACATTTCGTGGGCTGGTTTAGGCCTTCAACCCTGTAAGAAACGTACTGTACCGTTGTTTACCACTATCACCAATTGGGTGCGAATGTACGAAGACACGAAGGGGCGGAAGCGACACTGTGGTAGCTTTGCGGTTGCGGCAGAGTGGTGACATTCACGCAACTTTGGCTCTCAGAGTTTTTCCGCAGCTCCATTTGTTTTCCCACAGCTTTTTCGCAAGAAAAGCTACCGTGCACACTTTTGGGTGCACAAACCTTTAAGCTGGCAGCTTGAAATCCGTCAGCAGCAGCAAGACTCGTTCGTAGTAGCTGGAAATCCGTTGGCATTTAGCGCGATGTCGGCCCATACCAGCGCAAGCCCCGAGTATCAGCGAGAAACTCGCTAGTAAGAGCGTGAACCGCCCGTAGCAGTAGGAAGCTCGCCCAAAGCAGTGCAGGCAGCGAGTAGCAACAAGAAACTGGCTAGTAGAAGTGTAAACCGCCCATAGCATCAGGAAACTCACCCAAGATCCATACATCCGTCGCATGCACAAGGAAGATGCTCTATGCCTCTTCGGCAAACCAGCCAAGAGGCCATGCCATGAACCCAACAATGCGGAGACTGTACAGCTGATTCAGGACCCTCACAGCAACCAGGCTAGTTGGAGCAGCAGCCCCGACCAATAAGCCGACAATGGCGGGGGGGTGACCCCAATCAACGAGGAGGGACAGACGAACGCGATGAGGAAGTTGCCGAACGAGGCACCCGAGGAAGCGAGGGCACTATGGGAGGCCCACCGTAGGCGCTTGCAGCTGCAGCACGTCCACCGTAGCCGTGACCTCGCGGAACCGACCATACAGCAAAGCGTCGGAAGTCTTGTCTTACCTCCCGTAGACGCCGACACTTCACTTATAGGGCCTCGGTTGGCTCAACGGCAAGAGCGGAGGCGCCGAAAGAGAGGGGGGAGAGGAGGGCAGCAGAGGTGGCTTGTAAGAGGCCAGCAAGGGCTGCAGGTTGGAGGGCAGCATGGGCTGCTGGCAAGGGGGCAACAAGAGCTGCAAGATGGAGGGCAGCAGCTGCCGCATAGCGGCGGGCAAGTGCAGCTACAGAGCAAAGGTACAGCGACGGCTGCCAGCGTGGGGGCGGTATCAAGAGCTGACGGAGAAGGAACAGCGGCTGCTGCACCAGACGGGGTTGCGGCTGAAGTTAGGGACAGGGCTTTCGCACGGCCAGCAGGGGCGGTAGAGGCCACAACTGGGGCAGAGGAGTCCGCTGCAGGGGCGGCAGAGACCGCAGACGGAGTGGCGCGGGCCGCACGAGAGGCTGGCAGCGATGGGGACGCTGCAGTCCCACCACAGCCCCATGAGGAGGTCCTCCCTGCCCTCCCCAGGCCCACCCCCATGCAGGCAGGAGCTTTAATAGAGGGGCAGGAGGAAACAACGAGGTCAGGGAATCCGGAGAGTGCACTCATCCACACCCCGCATCTTTTAACCCACTCCCCCCGGGAGCACCCACCCTTTTCCCCCACCCTCACAAGCATTCTCGCGAATTAAGTGGGGCAGCCAAGGCCCGGGCTTTCCTAGAGGAGCCCTGCTCCCCAACTTTCAACTCCCAGCCACCACTACCTCTCCTTCCACCAGGTCCGCCCTCACCAGCAGATGTGCATATGCCCGAGGCGCTTGGTTTAGCCGCATCAACCCCCGCACCGACTCCCCTCCGCCCCGTACGCTACACAATTCCACAGCGCCGGATACCGGCACCTCATCCCACTGCTAGGAACTCGCCCCTCCCCTACCATTCCCCACCATTATTATCATCACCACCCTCGCAACCCCATGCACCCCATGGTCACCACCGCCCTCAACCAGCCCATCGACCCCGCTTGCTCCCGCGCAGGCCCACCCACCATCCCACAACCAGCTACGTTTGGCATCTACCAGGCCACCGGCTCCCGCCACCTTGGGAGGTCCCACGGGTGGATGGAGGTCTCATGTCGAGCCGCCACGCCGTGCCAACATTCCCCCGCTTCTCCTCCTTCCAGGCCCCACTCCGACCCCCCTCCCACAACAACCAGCCATAACTCCCCAAGCCAACGCAGGTCGACGACGGAGGGGGAGAGCCAGGGGCGGGGAGGGCTTAAGTTCCACACCCCCACCTCCGTTTTCTGCCCCACCTGCAGCTCTACTCCCCGCCCCCTCTGCCCAACCTGCTCTAGGCGACCCTCACATGGGCTCATCACCCATCCTTCCCCCCCCTCATGAACCCTCGCCTTTGCAGGCACACGGTGGAGGTTCCACCGGTGCAATCCTTCCCCACTAGCATCTGGTTGCCGCTCAGGATGACGCCCTGCCCACTAGGATGGAGGTAGTTGGTGTTGGGGTTGACACAATGACGGGTGAGGATGAGGCTGCACTTATCTCTCATACCCCCCTTCTCACCACAGCGTGCAACCCCACCCCGCTCCCGACAGCTCAGCTGAGACAACTGGAGGGTGAGCTAAGGCCGGTGCAACAACCACATGCAACCCAGCCACATGGACCAGGTCACCCTCCCTCCCTTACAGACCGGGAGGCGTTGGAGCCCTCATCGGGCTTGGGGGCAGCCGTATCTGACTTGCTGGCAATACAGAATACTGGCATACCCCTCTCTACTCCCACCCCCCAGACCCCAGTGGTACACGCCCTCGAAGCCCCCCTCATGGACCTCCCTCTTGCAGCCCCCATCCTGCAGGAACCCTTTCACCCTTCTCTGATGGAGACCGATCTGATCCTCAGACCGTGCGCCTCTGACGCGGATTTAAGTGCATCACTCCGGCCTGCCTCACCCCACCCATCCCCGTCATCAGCCCCACCTATCACCACGGCATATAGTTCCGAGGGCACGGCCACGGCCGACCCCACCGACACAGCGACGTCACCAGACGAGGTCGTGAGGTGCCTCACATGCTTGAGCTCCCTCGCGAACCGCCGAGCACTCCGACATCACATGCCATTCTGCCACCCCGCCGACGCAGCTCGCAGGGCGCAGGCCCTCCGCGGCAGGGCCTCAGCTCTACCTTCCCTAGCAGAGCCCCGAGCCCAGGGGATGCAGTTCACAGATGCACAGTGGCGTACGCTTGACTCCGTTCGGTGGTCGGAGCATTCATGCCCGTCCTCTTCGGCGTATCCCCACGAGGGTCCGTGGTGGGTATCTAGACATCCTCTGCGCCATCTTAGCGCGGGTCTCCCAAGACCCAGAGGCACCAGGCCCTACTCTCCTCTTGGAGGCGGCACCGACGCTCCTACTGGCTCCGGCGACACCGCCAGAGCGTTCAAACACGGCCGCCATTGCAACGCGCATCATCCGCTTTGGACGAGGTGAGTGGGACGAGCTCATCTCTGAGGCCCTACAGCGACGTACTCCCCTTCCTTTACAAGCAGCACGTCACGCTCACGCCACCACTTTCTCCCCCACACCGGATGACCGCCGCATTGCCCGCTGCCTGCGTCTGGCGGCTTGCAATGACACCTCGCGGGCCTGCGCGGCCCTGGAGTCGGCAGATGCGGCACCTGACACGGAGAGTACGATGCAACGTCTGCGGAGCAAGCATCCCGTCGCAGAGCGACCGACTCCAGATTGGCTACCGGCTTTTCAGGATACTGCCCTTGTGCTCTCTATAGATCACCTCCGCCGCGCCATCTTCACAGCCCCGCGCGGGCCGTCCGAAGGACTGACAGGCCGGGTTGCCGAGCATCTTCGAGATACCTTCCTTGCCTTTCCTGAGAGCCTCCCTAGCCTACTCGTCGTGTACCAGCTTTGGCTGCGAGGCTACTGCGCTCCGGCAGTTCGATCGCTTTTGGCATCGTCCACCCTGCGTGAAACCAAACGTGGATGTGCGTCCTATCGCGATAGGTGAGGTTCTGATTCGCATCCTTGCTCGCGCAGTATGCTTGCAGCTGCGGGACCAGATGGCTAGGGTTTTCCTTGCGTCACAGCAGTTTGGGGTGGGCGTTACCTGCAGGACAGAGGTCGTGGTTAGAGGCGTTCGTCGCGGCCTGGATAACCACCCTGACTGGGTGATTCTTTAGCTGGACGTGGCGAACGCCTTTAACTCATTTCATCGAGACGCCATGTTTCAGGCCCTCTACACTAGTGCTGAGTTCCGCTGTCTTATTCCTTTCATTAGCCTTTTCTACGGGACACCCTCCGATATCCTTTACCGAGCGAACGGAGAGGTGACCACCATACACTCTGAGCACGGGACCCGCCAGGGCGACCCGCTCAGCCCTTTCCTGTATGCACTCACACAGCGCATGGCTCTACAGCCAGTTCTAGCTGAGGGCGATGTTCAGCTATGGTCATGCGCAGATGACACTTACGTGCTGGGCCCTCCTTCCAAGGTGCTACACCACTTCGCAGAGATTGTGAGGCACTTGCGCGAGTTGGGCCTTGCGGTCCAGCCACACAAGTGTCTCGTCTACGGCACGGATTTTGTGACTTCTAGGGAGGCGGAGGCCTTCACGAGTCTGGGGATTGAGGTTGCTCGCAGAGGACTCACCGTCATGGGAGTGCCGGTGGGCTTTGACGCTTTTGTGGAGAGGAGTCTACCTGAGTGTCTGGAGAGGATGGGGCGCGTGTTGCCGTGGCTTCCAAGACTACGCCAGCCCCAGACAGCGGCCCGTCTACTTTCGGCATGCGTCAGCACACGACCGCAGTATCTGGCGAGTACGGTCCCTCCGACCCCGGCTGTACGTGCCAGTTTTGCACGGTGGGATGAGCGGTTGGGAGAGACCTTTCAGCATCTCCTGGTGCCTGGGACTTGGACTTGCAGAGAGGACGTTCGTGAGGCTGCCCTGGACCAGATCTACCTCCCCATACGTCTAGGGGGTTTTGGCATCCGACGCATGGAGCGTATTGCCCCCGTGAGTTATGTGTGCTCTTGGGTACAGTGCACGCCGATCCTTTGCTCCCTCCCAGTGCGCGGCGCGAGCTTCCGACAGAGCTTCGCATCGGATGATGTTGACCTGATCAATCAATCAATGCGGACGGCGCTGGAGGGTATCCCACGTGACATCCTCTCTCTCTTCCCCCCCTGGCACTCTTGTGTCTCTGCTGCCCCTGATTCTCTTTTCACAAGAGTGAGCCACGTCTTGGAGGCGCGGGCCTTGGAGTCAGTCCGGGCCCGTCACACTAACCCCTTGCACCTTGCTTGTTTGACATCCCTTCAGGGCGCAGGTGCTGGCGCGTGGTTGACTGCGGTTCCATACGCAGACTCGCTGCGCATCCTAGAGGCGCAGTGGCAGGTGGCCCCAGCTTTCCGCCTCGGCCTCCCTATCCCCCAACTAGCCCTCACAGGTCGGTGTTCTTGTGGGCAGGCGATTGACGACATGACGGTACCTCACCACGTGGTGCAGTGCTCCCGTTTCGGCGTCGCCACAGTCATCCATGACACCGTGAAATACATGCTTCGGGACTTTGCTTCCGAGGCAGGCTTCACGGTGAAGGTGGACACCACTTTGATCCTGCACCTGGAGGTAGCTAGAGCGCGACTGCAGGGGCTCTCGGGGACGGGGGACGGGGTACTTGGATAGTCAGGGGCACCGTGGGGACAGCAACAGCAGCAGGGTGGGCTCGGTCGAGGGGCTGGTGAGCAGGAGGGCCGTGAGGGGCAGGATGGGTTGGCTAGTGGGGGAGAGGAGGGGGGAGAGCAGCAGCAGCGGCAGCAGCAGCAGCAGCAGCAGCGGCAGCCACAGCAACAGCAACTAGGCCAGCTGGGGCAGGAGGGGCAGACCCGTAGGGGTTAGGAGAGAGGACAGCATGGACAGCAGCAGCGGGGCCAGCAGGGGTAGGAGGGGCTGGCTAGTGGGGGAGAGGAGAGGGGACAGCAGCAACAGCAGCAGCACCAGCAGCAGCAGCAGCAGCAACAGTAGCAGCAGCAGTAGCAGCAGCGGCAGCAGCAGCAGCGGCAGCGGCAGCGGCGGCAGCGGCAGCGGCGGCAGCGGCAGCGGCGGCAGCGGCAGCGGCAGCGGCAGCAGCAGCGGCAGCAGCAGCAGCAGCAGCAGCAGCAGCAGCAGCAGCAGCAGCAGCAGCAGCAGCAGCAGCAGCAGCAGCAGTAGCAGCAGCAACAGCCGCAGCAGCAGTAGCCGCAGCAGCAGGGCCAGCAGGGGCAGCAGCAGCAGGTTTGTAGGGGAGAGAAGAGAGGGCAACAGTGGCAGCACCAGGAAGGTCAGCAGGGTCAATAGGGGCGGCAGTAGGAGGGTCAGCATGGGCAGGAACAGGAGGATCAGCTAGGGCAGCGGCGTGAGGATCAGCAGGGGCAGGCTGGCTGGGAGGAGGAGGAGAGACAGCAACAGCAGCGACTACAGCAGGTGGGCCAGCAGGGGCAGGATGGGCAGGCCAGTAGGGGAGAGGAGAGAGGACAGCAAGAGCAGCAGCAAGAGGGTCATCCGGGGCAGCAGCAGGAGGGACAACAATGGCAACAGCAGGAGGGTCAGTGGGGGCAGGCTACTAGGGAAGAGGAGAGGGGACAGCAGCGGCAGCAGCAGAAGCAACAACAACGGCATGGCCAGCAAAGGCAGGAGGGGCAGGTTGGTGGGGGAGAGGAGAGAGGACAGCACAACCAGCAACAGGAGGTTCAGCAGGCGCAGGAGAGGCTGGCGAGTGGGGTAGAGGAGAGGGGACAGCAGGGGCAGCAGCTGGATGGCCAGCAAGGACAAGGTATGGAGGGGGGGGATAGGGCGAAACGACAAGGGAGGAGGCACAGAGGGACCAGGCACAGCAGAAGCCCGTACAGCAGCAGCCAGTACAGCAGCAAAGGCAGGCTGGACGCACAGGCCGCACAGGGACACCAGCCCACATTCCAGACCTGACTTGCCGCGATATTGAAAAAACTTTGATGGTGTTGGTAGACGTCTCCATTGCAGATCCACAGCAATAGGGGAATACTGGGCTTAGACGAGTGGCCTTAGTGCAGATGGGTGTTGCAGCAGCTAGACGAGTGCAGGACAAGTTGCGGGATTGGGCACCGCATCTAGAGGGATTACAACCGCCGCCACATTTTTATGCATGTGTAGTGGAGACGTTTGGGTTGCTCAGCGAGCCAATGAGGCAGTTTCCAGGGCTTTGTGCGCGGCGGATTGCACAGCAGCGTAAAGACTTGGGGGGGGGGGGTGTGATGACGGGTCATCACGGATTTTCGAGACCGGACTCACTACACGACTGGCCGTGGCACTGCAGCAAGCACAGGCTTAGAGTATTATACAGCACGCGGTGCGGCAATTGGGAGGGTCAGATGATGGGTGGATGCCCGCACCAGTCCCTTTGGGTGCAGGGCAGGGCAGTTGGCATCACATTACCGGCTGCTTCGAGAGCGTGGCAGACATGCAGTATATGTACGATGCATATGTGTAGGCGTTTAGCGATTGTGCTTGAAAGGCTGTGTCCCGCGCTGTGGTGCGGGTTGCTGTGGTGTTTTGGTCCTTAGGTGTTTCCTTCTTTTAGTCTCTTCCTCTCTTATTTTCCTCTTTCCACCTTTCCTTTGGCCCTTCTCTTCTTCTCCAGCTCTTCTCTCCTTATCACCCTTTATTTGTTCCACCATTTCTACCTTCTTCTTATACCCCTTCATCACCAAGACTTTGTATCAAACTTAATCCATAATAATAATCCTTCTCTTCAACTCTTCTTACCACCACCCCACTCCTCTAAAGCAGGAACATTGGCAGAGCAGGCCTGTAGGTCATACGATCATTTGTAAATGAGTTGAGCTGTATTGGGTGATTGTTATGAGTGCTCCAAAAACTAACATAAAGAGAAATATTAAAGAAGCGAGCATTTATAGGGTGAAACTGTGCTAGGCTAGGACCTCGTCAGGACGTGCAAAAATTGGAAGTGTCGTGATTCGTGCGGGGCGACTCCGAAGTGGTTCGGGCCGAAAGTGTAGGCTGAACCCAAACTGTCACGAAGTGCTCACGCACCCGTTAACGTCAGGCCGTAGAAAGGAAATGAAATGTTGTATCGACCCGGATGGTAGCGCCCAGGGCTGACGCTATCAGACAAAATACTCTGATTAGTCTAATGAATCAGAGTGTCTAGCCACTGGAAACTGATTTTTCAGATTAGTTGATTTCTTGTCCCTGAGTGCTTGAGTGTTATTGTTTTAGGGGCCCTGATTTCATGTAATGTATTTCAGCATATAGTTATTGTGGAGCCTGTTACTACAGAGTATCGATTTTGTGGGCCCTGAATTTGAGTATATCGGGAAGAAGTTTCCTAGAAATTTTCTCTCGATATACCCACCTCCAAGGTGACAGCAAAGTGCTAGCACGTGAGAGAGCACACTGCACCAGGTCCTGAATTCGAGTATATCGGGAAGAAGTTTCCTCGATATTTCTTCCCGATATACCCACCTCCGAGGTGGCAGCAGAGTGCCAGCACGTGAGCACAACACACTGCACCTTTCCTAGAAAATCTGCTGCCGAACAACTCGCAGCTGTGAAAAGTCCCCGCGCACCAAGCAACATTTCCTGCACGCTGCCAGCTGAACAGTAGTTGGAATCTGGGCCGTTGAATTGCGATTACTGTATATCATGAATCGCCGATTTAAACTGATGGTGTGCACGTTTTCAAGAACCAAAAACGTCAGCTCTTGGCGTATTCACAGCTCTATGTGTGGCACTTCCCTATAGTCCACAAACTTTACAGTAAATGCGTGCTGCCAGCTCAGCCCCGCAACAGCTCCCCAACTTGGCTGCAAGGTCGCGCCAGGTTGCGCCACATGCACTCTGCAGCAAAACAAAATCAGAGGACCCTGATTATAGATTGCCAACCCTGAACAAACAGAGTGCCTCAACCCTGGAGACTGAGCAATCAGGGTGGCGAAATTCTGGCCGAAGTACGGTCAGATTTTTTTTTTTTTTTTCCTAAGGATTCAGGGGGGGTTAAAATCGAAGCGTCAGCCCTGGTAGCGCCGTCCTATTAAAGGCGCCGGCGCTTCTATCTAGAGCATGGCGCTTATGGCCGGAACTGAATTATGAGCTCTGCCCCTGTAAAACCTTGTTTTATTATAAGCGCATGCATAAATTTACTTTTCAATCCTGATTAAAACGGTAACGAAGTCCAAATTTCCAGCGAGTCAACACCCATTTTCACTTTGTTTGAATTTCGAGGGCCTCACTCATGCCCTTTTATTCGGTTTTGTCCTATCTGATTCGCCATATTCACTTACAGTTTTAGTCTTAATCTCTCAGAGTTGGTATAAGAAAAAGGCTGATAGTTCAGAGTGTAGGAAAAAAAAGTATGAACATTCAGAATCAACATCCGGTGAGAAGTCTGATTGTGGTTTTAGGTGTGTTGCTGTTGGTCTTCTTGTTTGAACTACGAACATTAGACAGGCCTACATACATACTACTACTGCTTGCTTAGCCTGGACAGTTAGATTAGAACTACCCTGTTGATATATCCTAGCTCTATTAACATCCTACTAATCCTACTCATAAAATCCACCATCATCATCACCGTCAACTGCATCATTCTCATCTTCTAGGTTAACTACTTCCATCACTTCATCTGCCTCCCTGCCCTTGCTCTGTTGCTTTCTTGCAGGCGGGAGTGGAGCGTTGCTGTGGGGCTTGCGCTTCTTGTAGCTCCTCCAGACGGTTACGATCTCATCCCACTTGGGCTCGTAATCCATGAGACTCATGCACATGAGGTCTCCAAGGCGTGCATCCTTAAGCGCGCCCCTCTTCCACGACTTGATGACGTTCTGGCGGGAGAACCCCCGCTCGCACTCCACGGTGCTCAGCGGCAGTACAGCTACTGCCACCCACAAAAGCACCAGGTTGGGGTAGTTGTCCCGCCAGTCGGGTGTCTTGAGCATGGCAGTGAGCTTCGCGTGGAAATTGCGCTCGGGCGACCGGGCCGCAGGGCGGCGTTCGCACGGGAGTCACGGGTGGTGGAAATACCGCACCCGGCGAATCGGAGGAGCGCCAGCGGGCTGAGCCGCCACCGTGCTTGCAGCAAGGGGGACCCAGCGAATACCAGCGTACCGCCTCCTGGCAGGGCACGGAGGATGAGTCGCTGGTCCAACGCTGGCGGTATACCCAGCTGCCGAAGATAGATGTGCCTGAGAGATTTTCGGGAGATGTGCAAAGGGGGCCGAATCTGAAGAACTACATCATGCAGCTGGATAACTTGCAGGCGCGGTGGGCGAAGGACCGGCTAGATCCAGAGGAGTTTTTCCGCGGGCTGGCAAACACGTTGGCGGGAGAGGCGGAGACCTATTACCACATTTCACGAAAGGAACTGCTGGAGTGGGCGGCAGGGCGAGCGCCGGGCGAGCGGGATCCGACAGCGCGTTTCTTAGCGATGCTGTGTGAGCTATTACCTTTGCAGACGGCGGAGCGGGTGGTGGAGTCCCGTGGCTTCAGGTGAAGGGAAGGCGGATTCCTGTTGGCCTACTACGGCAAGTTCGTGGAGTTAGGGGAAGATATGAACTGCGCGGACCAGGGGAGGCTGATTGGAAAATTCGTGAATGGGCTGGGCCAGCCCCTACAGCAAGACGTACAGGTGCGGGTGTTCGATCTGGGGCGGAAAGCTACGCTGAAGGAGGCCTATGAAATTGTCAAGCGGGTGGAAACTAGCCGGCGGCTGTACGAAGTGGAACGGACGGTAAATCGAGGACCAGAGAGGAGGCGGCCCACCTGGGCCGCTACCTCGGCGTATCCAGAGGTGGACGAGAAAGGGAGAGAAGAGCCGCGGCGCTGCCACAACTGCGGCCTGCCAGGACATTTGCGAAGGGAGTGTCTTGGGGCGCCGCTATGTACTCGCTGCGGACGAAGAGGACATTGAGAGGTGGATTGTTACGCAAGCCGCAAGGAGCGACGAAGGCGGAAGGAGGAGAAGATCGGCAAGCCACCATGGCCCGGCTGCGTGCCCAGTTGGCAGAGTTGGAGGCGGCGGAGCAAAAACAACCCGCAATGGTGGCGCAGGAGGAAGAAGAGCCAGAGGAACCGGAGTTCATGCTCATGGCCCAGCCGGCGCGGGATCGAGAAGAGCTGGGATTAAGACGGGACGTGCGCAGGCAACTGTTTTCGGAGGATGAGCGGCGAGAAGACGGGCCGAGAAGGCGGGCCAGCGAGTGGAGAGGGAAGGGGCGGCTTACCGACACCTGCGGGAGAGGATGGCCTGTCAGGCCACGGTCCTGACGATAGCAGCGGGAGCGATTACGATCGGGGGATTAACCGCGCAGCGAGCAATCGTGGGTACAGGGGCCACGCACGTGCTCATCGGAAGGCGACTGGCGGAAAAACTGCAGCTGTACAAGCCAGGGCGCCTGGTAGCAGAGGGCTACCTGCTGATGCGGACGGAGGGGAAGCGAAGTGGATGCCCAAGACTCGGCAGTCGATGGCGCTGATGCTAAATCCCGGGACCCAAGAGGAGTGCACGTTGAGGGTGTTCTGCGGAGTGTCGGAGTCTGAAGAATTCGACCTGCTGATAGGAGTGGAGTACCTGTTTGGCATAGGAGCGACGATATGCATGTGGGAAGAGAAGGTTCAATACCGGGTATGCTAATGGGAGGATTACGGTCCCATCAGCACGCTTCCGGTCCGGTTTGTACGGTGAGAACCAAGGGAGGCCTACCAGTTCTCAGAGGCGGAGCTTCGAGAAGAGTTAGGAATCCCGACCTGGCAACAGGTGGCGAGAATGCCAGTGGCACCCACGGGGCGGGGTGAGGAGGAAGCGGACCTCAAGGCACTTTGCATGAACACGAAGCGACTCCTAGGGCCAACCATCGTCCTGAAACTATTCGGAGGCATCAGAACCGGGCTGGCGGCGGTGCTGAAGGTGGGAGCATACGTGGAGAAGTGGATTTTGGTGGAAAGCGATGCGCAGGCGATCAAGATGGCATGGAACCATGCTGAAGGGCTGCAGAAGAGGTAT